TTCTGTACTTCAGGAGAAGAAAAAAAGAGAATTTATACTATATATGTATATATGTGTGTGTGTGTGTGTGTGTGTGTGTATATTTATGTGTATATAATATTTATTTTGTTCCAAAATTGTATGAAGAAGATGTTAAAAATTACATGTTATTGTATTTACATGTTGATATTAGCAGAGGAAATTGTGACTCTCAGTGTACTTGGAGTGAGATGTGCTCCCCAAAGTTTTTATTGTTCTTGACTTACTCCCTCGACCCTCAAAAACTCAAGGTCTAAAAAGTTCAGTTGAGTCATCAGAGTAATGGGACGGCACTTAAGATGGCAGCACAGATCCCCAAGGGGAAGAGGAGGAGGGCAGGTTGAAATGAGAAATGAAATGGGGCTGATGAATTTCTGTCCAGGGTTACTGAGTCTGACTTGATGCTCCGACCGCCTTGAGCGATATAAGGAGAATAATTTTCTTATGCTTAGTATGGTCTCTAGAGCCTGGGTGGAAACGTACCCTGTAATGAAACCCCACGTGGCACTAATACTGTCAACAAATAAATAAACAAAACTGATGAAAATATGATTTAGTGAAGCTAATCCATGTGACACATCTGGAGTGTGCAAGGTTTAACTAAAGTTAAGTCATTTTCCATGCCTTTAAGGTTAAAGCTGCATTATTCAATATCTTTATATTAACAATTTATCAAATTACTGTATACTGTAAAAAGGTGTCAAACCCACTTTGTGTCTTTCAGCTTGTTGTTTTGGTTGGACAGCTCACATCTTTTTTTGGTTACATTTTACTGCTCCTATCAGCATTGTTTTAAGCTTAAAAGCTCCAGTAAACCCACTGTATATTATTTGTGCAGCACCAAACAACATAGTTAGCTGGTGAACATAGTAGAGCAAATAGCAGCTACAGAGCCACATATTTCCCAACGCAAAGCTAAAAAAAGAAGGGGAAAAGTGAAGTTACATTTGCTAGGCGTGAGTTCAAATGAATAATAATGTTGCTCCATATCTGCTAGAAATGTAAATACGCAACTGTTTGCAAACTTCATAATGTGATAATACGTAATGTTTACATTTCAGCTGTTCCCAATAGGCAAAATAAATAAAATAATGCATCTTCAACGTTAGCTATTGACTTTTGTTTTTACATGGATACACCATGATTCAGTATAAATTTAAACCAGCGTTGCCAAAGGTCTTGTTCTCCTTCATTCCCATTCGGTTCAGAGCAGCACAGAAAACAATCCATCACTAAAAAAACAAGAGCAGTCGTGTTGTGGTTGTGTTGTTTGGGTTAGTGATTCCTATGTACGCGTCTGTTCTGTTTTTTTAGCCTTATTTTACTTTTAAAACTAGTCATGCATCTCAACTCGTTCAAAAGACAAACAAAAGCTTGAAACTTCGCCCATGCTGTAGTTCATAAAACGAAAGCAAAATAAGGCGAAATTATATGGGCTAAGTTAGTTACAGCCTAATACCAGCCAACCTTCACTTAGCAGGAGTACACAATATGGCATACATTTCAAAATATGTAGTTTACATTGTTGGAAAACATGAAAGAATATCTCATGGTGTGATTTAAGTTCTAATACGTTGCTGTAAAAATGAGGGAATGAAGGAATTGAGCAGAAAAGTCAAGTGGAAATTGTCCTTTAACACTCAAACAGTTACAGAGATGTAACTCTACTCCATCTCACAGTTCCTTTTAGCAAAGGCTGAATTGCTTTTGAGTGTTTAGTGCAAATTAATCCTCAGCACACACACACACAGAAACGCACACAAATGAATCAGAGGGGTATTTGTAAAGGTTATAGCACTGACATTTGGTCGGTTTCAGAGGGATGTAATGACCTTTCTGCTTCTACTGAAATATAGAATTACTGTGGAGACCACTGACTTTGTGTGTGTATATGTCCGTGTGTGTCTGTGTGTGCATGCGCTTGCAGGTCCACAACAGCTGTAAAGAACAAATGGGGAAGGTGTGTCCCTTGGGTCAATGTCGAGTGTCAATCATCCCTCCCACTGCACTTAACAGCATCGACTCAGATGGTGAGACACCTTGTATACCCACACACAAACACACTTACACACAGGCAGTGAGTATTGCGTGTACAGTAGGTTCAAAGTTCGGGAAAGTCACCTTTCAACTCCATCTGTGTAAATCCTTTGGATGCTGAAGGCGTGACATTGCAACTGACCCTTTTTCTACTGTTGCACAAATAGCTTCTCAATTCCAGGCAAATCCTTTAGACCTTTTATATTTTTTTTATCTAATAAAACAACCATTTTAAATTTTAGCATGCTTGTTCTAGTAGAAATTTAAAGAAAAGAGGAATATTTTCAACATATTCTGTCTTATTTCTACATATTTTTGCTATTCAGATTAGACACACACTAAAAAGGCATTTGTTATCAGAAATGTACAATTTTGAGACAATTCCAGTTAAAATCCTGGATTCATCACAATCCGCTTTCTGACATGAATCGTGTGATTGCCAACATTTGGACTTGAATCTAAGTGCCAGAAATGTTTCCCAGTCTTAATTTTTCAAAGCATATTTTATCCATTTATGATCCTTCCTTTCAGGCTTCTGGAAAGCCACCTCAGCGTCGTGCACCAGCCCCCTCCTGGTCCTGGTCAACTCCAAAAGTGGAGACAATCAGGGGGTGAAGTTCCTCCGCAAGTTCAAGCAACTTCTCAACCCGGCTCAAGTCTTTGACCTGATGAACGGGGGACCAGAGCTCGGGTACTTAAATGCATCGCTTATATGTCAGGTTACAACAAAGCAGAAAGTCTTTAGATTGACTTGTTAACAGTAGGAGTTTCAAGTTTGACTGTCACAACTGTTTAATGCAAGTGCTAATGCTGTAATTTTGCTACCTTTTCATGACATCTACCTCTTAACATTTTGTGCTTTGCTTCCTCCTCTTTCTTTCCTCATCCTCCCTGCTCTCCTCCCCCAGCCTGCGCCTTTTCCAGAAGTTTGTGACTTTTCGTATACTGGTGTGCGGAGGAGACGGCAGCGTGGGCTGGGTGCTCTCAGAGCTGGATAAACTCAACCTCCATAAACAGGTGAGGAGGAGGAGGAGGAGGAGGAGGACGGGATGATGATATAATATTGAAGGTGACTGTGGAGAAGGCTGATGGGCAAGAGAAAGCAGCGAGCTACCTCTCGTACTAATATAAATTGTAAAACTGAATCACCTGTGGTCGTAGTTTGTA